ACTTAAAAAAACAATTTTTTTAAAGCTTTCAACTTAGTAAAACAGTCATTATCAGTTATGATGTCGTTGCCGTCGAATGTTCTATTATTATTAAAAATAATATAAATTTTTAAATCTTTTTAATGTAAAATATTAATTTTTTAGTTAAACATATTTATAAGTGAATTCATTTTTTATAAATAAGATCTAATAGTTTGAAAAGTATAATTGACGAAATTTTATTGAATTTTTAATAATTTACTTTAAAGAAGTTTTTATAAAATTAATTAATTTTTTTGTATGCACAAAATAATTTCTTAACGTCAGTAACCTTACAGAGTGGTTTATTTACATAAGCCCTTGAACATTCCACTATTTATAAAAGTAAGCGATTTCTACTTAAAACTCTATTTTTTGCGCAAAATAGAATTTCCAATAAAAAAATAAAAAACAAACAGTTTTATTAATATAATCGACTCTTTTATTGTAGCAAACTTAAAGCTGTTGCAAGGCCCCCATGTCAGAAAAGGTGCCCACTTCAATTAAAGTAACCTTGTTATTAACAAAAGGTCTCTATAGTTACATAATATATTCACAAATCATTTTCTTAAAAAGTTAATGAATTCTGAACAAATAAATAAAAACTTTTCGAGAATTTTTGGATGGTACTGTGCAGTCTATAATAGAATTTTTAAACCAATCTCACAGAAAAAAATAATACAAAGTTAAACTAAATAGACCCTTAAGGGCTTCGTTACTAATAAAGTGATTTTGTTTTTGTCCAACCCTATAATAAATAAATATAAATGATAGTAAAGGCGTAGAACATAAAATTTACGATACACTATTCTCCTGTGAAGAAAATGGTAATAAGGTAATTTAAATTCTCTCTGCTCATTTTACATATAAGTAAACATTTCAAATCTTACAATTAGCAGCTAAATTAGAAAAAAGAATAATCTTCCATCTTAGTGATTTTATTCTCATCAAGATCTCTAATTCAATAACAAACAATATTAAAAACTTTGATGTAAAATTACAAAAGCTTTTAATTAAAACATTATTTAACACAAAATGAGCACCACCGCTAAGTTTTACAAAAAACTAGTGGTATTTTTTAAAATCTTAAGAAACCGCTTCCATCCTATATTGTTTAAATACATTAATCTTTTTAAAGGAGACGTGGATTCAATATTAATAATTTAATTATATATAAGGTAGTATAGGGAATATATAAGTATAGCACTAAAAGGAGAAGAAAAAGACACTTTTATAATTTTTATTTACATACAATAATTCTTTATGATTATACGTAAATTTTTATAAAACAAAGTAGTTATGAAGGATTTAGTGAGGAAAATTATGCTCCAATCTTTCTTTTAATACCACAAAGACAAGGACTGTAATTTGCCCTTCCTTATTTCAACTATAAAAAGAAATAGGAAACGTCAAATTTTACATCATTGCAAACTTTAATAAGCTAACAACATATCTTCAAAAAAGTAAAGGTGCATTCAATTTTCTTTTAAGTAAAATTTTTATAACCTACACTTCAACGCTTATAAGGTTGCAAAGTAGCTATTCTCTTTAATTTATCTTATTTAAAGTGTAATACTACAAAAACGACTTCTAAAAGTAATGATAGTCTTTATGACTCTAAAAATCCGGAAATTTCTGATATAATTAATAGAAAAAAATAAAAAGAGTAAGAGTAAAGTTTACTTTTTTTTTTTTCTTTAACTTATGACCTAAACTATTGAAAATATGTGAATTACACTCCTTTATAAAGTTTAATTTAGTTAAAGTTTACGAGTTGTTGAGGTCTGAGGCTCAGTAACTTCTTTATTTGAAAAAAAAAAAGTACTAATGAGTCGATCCACCTCAACCTTTTTTAAATTTTTTTTTTTAAAATTTTAGTTAAGTCGTTAATATCAATTAATTGCATACTCCTATTTTTAAGTTTGACCAGAACATAAAAAAAAGTAACGAAATTCGTCTACGGTTCAGCGAATGAGTTTTAAATAAGTTATTTTTTCTTTCTTCTCTTTTTTAAATTTTTTTTTATACTAAAATTTTATCAAAACGCTAAAAAATATAAAAGCTGAATGTAAAAAACACTGCCGAGAATGCCAGAAGTGGAAAGAGAAATAACGATTATAATTTAATTACAGCTTAGTGGTATGTGAGACTATTAAACATGCTCGCATTGACTTCAACCAAATCGTTCCCCGAACTATTCTTTATAAAATTTGATTATAAATAATAAATTTTTTTTTCTGAAAAACTCACACTGAGTTCACTTTGGGGTTGACTTGTACGTCATCTGGTGGGAAAGTTGTAAATTAACTTGCCAAGTGTCTCCTTTTAAGTTTTAAAATAGAATTGTATGAGTAAATAAATATTGATTAGATTTAGTAACAAGTGGATAGATTATACAAAATAAAATTAGAAAAATATAAAATGTAAGCAACTTTATATACAAACCAAATCTATTTTGACTTAAAGTTTGTGTTAACAAACCTTTACAAATGCTTCATTTTTAGCATATTTTATTTATAAAAAAGTTATAAAACAAGTTGACCTGTTTTTTTATACAAAAACTTGGTTCTCGAATTATAACTAAAAGTTAACAATTAAACCATAATACGAATTCAGATTTTTTTTTAATATTAACATTTTTAGACTGGAAAAACTGCCATTACTAAATTACGCCTAAAGCACGCAGTGCAAGAGTTAAGAATGACTGGCTTTGAGCCTCTGCGGGTAGTGGTAGTCTTTTTAATTAAGTGACGAGGCAGAGTTTTAAATATTATTGATTATCACTATTTCGAACAATGCTAGAGTTTCATATATAACTGCTAAAACTTAAACACAAAAAAAGTTTTAGAGAAGTTTATAAGAAATTAATTATTTGAAGCTACACTTATCTTATTATGGGTGCACTTTAGATATAGTTAAATGTGTAAAGCTCATATTAACCAGCTTTTATAATTGGGAGGCACTAGGCATTGAAGCTAAGATTTCTTTATAGAAAAAAAGAATTACAAGACATAGGGATATACAGGCCCAACCTATTATAATCACGATCCAGCAGAAGGTAAATGCACTCTAGTTACTCTTGTGAATTGTATGCCTATAACTTTTCGTAATACATCATCCCACCAAACAGACTAACAATCAATCATTTAATAGATAAGCTCAAAACACAGAAAATACTCATCGCAAAGCTTGACCAGTTATGCAAAAGGTGCAAATGTAGCTGGGTCGAGTTTTCTGCTATATCATCAAAAGACTTTTTTAGTTTAAATATATAAATAAAAAAGCTTCAAACGGCCTAGTTATAAGCGCCGTGAGTAAAGCAAAAACTTAAATTATGATATCAAGTTTTAAGGCCCAAAGCTTCACAACAAGCAAGTTACAAGGCTAACTTCAAAATGTTTGCATTTTTAGTGGTTACAATTATACTACTTTATTATTAGTTTTTCAGGATAGTTAGTATATACTTTTTTGTTTACTTTAGCGCACATTCTTGCATTAATGTCAGACAAATGAGGTTCAACGGAAGACATATTAAAAATTACGAGAAGTAGAACAGATACTATAGACTGTTAAAGTTACAAGGAACTAACATAAAACCTTTCAATAAAAGCAAAGCTGAACCTTAGCCCTATAATTTAAAGCTTCTAAATTCTTTTAGTACATTTTATACTTTAGCTTCATTGCACTTACAACATACTTAAAAAAAATAAGTTGTCTTAGAAAAAAAGTTTAATGCTGACCTTTACGATCTTATATTAATAGGTAAAATCTCTTTTTTATATATAATCTAACTTTAATTAAGAGGTTTAAATAAGTATAATACTTTAAGCACTTTGTAACCTTTCTTTACCCTTGGAAAAAAAAATTACGAGTTAAATACTTATAATAATAACCATATTTTTTTTTAGCTTTAATATAAAACAGAATGAATTATATATATATGTTATTCTTTCTAAAATTTAAAAGGCCCAAATTTTCTTATTAAAAGCAAACAGTATTTCTGCTGTATAAAAAAGTTGTTTTTTTTAATAATTATATTTTTTGAAGTTCTCGTCTACTTTAAAAAAATCTGCTGTAGTAAAGCAAATGGAAAGCAATTCTGAGGCAGAAACTAGCGAAGAAAATATACGAAAACTGTTTCAAGTATGCGATGTTAATGGATGTGGGTATGTCTATGACAATTATTATTTATTTTATATATAAAAATATTCTAAACTTTCAGGGCTATTGATAAGATGTCATTATTGAAATGTACAACTTTGTTGAACTTAAAGTTAACAGATTGCGATATCGAAAATCTCTATCGTTCTCTAGATACTGATCACGACGGTGTTATTTCTTTTGAAGAGTTTGCTTCAAGTTTTAAAGTATAAGTTTTTCTGCGTATTAACGATATATAGATTTTTTTTTCCTGCTATGTTACAGCTGATATAACCCTTTAGTTTTGGTATTCTAAAGGTGGAGAGAATAAAGAAGTTTACGAATGTAAAATAAGCAAACGCGGAGATTGCGACGGTGATGTTAAGGTTAACAGTGACGGTATAGGAAATTACTTTATAGAAAGTTATTTTTCAAAATAACCTATATAATCTCCGATACAGTTCTATGTATACAAAGTCTTTAGTTTAGGTTCACAAGTTTTATACAGATACCTTCGTGATCCTTTAGTAACTTTAATAATGAAATATCAATAGAGGGTATCCTACACTAACTGAATAATAATTTTTTTAAAAAATTAAGCGTTTTTTTAAATTTTTAATTAGTAAATAGTAAATATTAAGCCCTCATTTTTAGAAAAAAAAGACAAGGTAACTTATTAAGTATATAAAATGTTATTATAAAATTTAGGCATACAGAAAGTTTCTCTACTAGTTAATGAATTTTATAACTACTACTGTTATTATTATATTTATGGTGTAATCATTGGATATTAGATATTTATGGCGGCATTAAAGAGGAAACTGTAGAAGGAGGTTTGCAAAATTTACTCGCTTTAATTAAAAAAGTATAAATTCCTTAAAATTTTTTTCTTTAATGTTGTTTATTAATGTGATAAAGAATATAGATAATTTATATATATTTGTTTAAAAAGATAATAAATTTACTGGTTTTTTTAGTTAATTAGAATTTAATTTAATTAATTTTAATTAATAATAAAAAAAGTGCTTCGCTTTTAGAGCAGTTAAAATAAATGCTTTGAATTTTTTAAAAAGAAAATTTATTAATTATAGTAGGTTGATTGTAAATTATTTGGTCCTGCTTAAGTAATTCATTATTGATATTTACTAATAAGATTCTGATTCAGTCAGTATTATTTTTTAACCAGAACTTATCGATATAAAACCCTTGAAATAGTATTGTTAATGTACCTCAGTAAAAGGAAAACTTTATTATATATATATAAATTCTCAGTCCACCTTCTTTGAAAATATTAGTTACAAGTTTTTTTCTAATTTCTATTTTGATATATAGAACTTTAATATATATAAACCAATTATATAGAATTTCTATAAAAAAAATTTATAACAAAAATATAATTATAAAGTTAATTTAAATAAAAAAGTTCTACTACTTTTATTAAAAGGAACTTAGCTCTTCACAAATAATCCTTTAGCCTTCATATCTCATTATTATTAAGTTTATTTTACTTGTAAGAAGTTTTACTTAATTTTGAAGAAATCTTTAGTATTTTGTGAATATAATTATTTGTCAGCTTTAAAAAATTGATATAATTAGAGAAAATGTATTTATTAAAAAGTTTATCGTGGATCTTTTAAGAATAATCTCAGCGTAGTTATCTAAATTATTTAAAATAAAAATAATTTATAACATTCATGACATAATAAATTGAAAAATATATAATTTGTATGTACTTGCCTATTTTTTTTTGTATTTTAATCTTAAAAAAATTTTAAGTATAAATATTAATAAAAAATTTAAAGTCTTTTTATTAAATAAACATACTAACTTTTCTATTATATTGGTAAATAATAATCGATTACTATATATAAAGTTATTATCTATAAAACTATTTTCATGTTAAAAATGTGTATATATAAAAATTTTGTTTTTATATTTTTTTCTTATAATAAAAGTATTTAATTCTAATATAAAGTTTAATTACGTCAATGTATATTTAATAAATTGCCATTTAAGTTTATAAAGCCTTCCTTTACAATTACAAAGGAAAAAAAAGACTTAGAAGCTTCTTATGAAAAAATAGAAAAAGAAAAATATGAAATGCTTTTTTTTTACAACGAACGCTTTATTGAAACTGAAGTTATATTATCTCTTTTCATTATTTTATTAAAATTTATTATCAATTTTTTCTATGCTAAGCGTGGATATAAAAAACTAAATGAATTATTGGAAAACGAGAAAAAAGAGAATGCTTGGTTGTTATATATTCATTGATAAGAAAAGTTCCGATACTTTAAAAAATAAATATCCACCATAATCAACCAGTCAACTTATATTATTTTGTGTTTTTGGGCTAAAAAACTAATTAAAGGCTGTTAATTTGTCCTTGGATTACTGATTGGTTGCTTATAAATACCAGTAAAAATATAAATAAATTATGAAAAAGGGAAAAAAAAGTTGTTATTAATACTTTATTTTTAAAAGGCTTTTAGCTGAACTTGAGCAACTTGCCACTTATTGCGAGAAAAATGAAAACTTCGATAAGGAAATGGATAAAAAGTTGAAACTCTACCGACAAGTTTCTAATAAAAACCTTTTTTACATTATTTATAAATCATAATTTATAGTTTGTATACAAAGAAAACTAAATTAAATTATAAAGAATATTTATTAAAAATAATGAAAAGTGAACTACATAATTTTAGTTGGTAAAAATTCTTTCTAAAAATAGTAAGAATGTATAATCTAGTCTAATATTAATTATACCAAAAAGTAATTAACCTTCTTCTTTTCATTTATTAAAAAGAACTATAATGAGAGCGAACGGGTTCTTCTACAACAACTAACTGAGCTACAGCAATCTAACGAAAATTATATTAAAGAGTTTAAAGTCTTCAAAGAAAAGATACGAGTGTATAGAGAAAAAATAAGAATTTTAAAAATGTAAGAATTTTTAAGTATGAATTAATTAATTATATTAAACTGCTTCACGTGTTTGAGTATGTTCAGCGCTTTTGGTATTGTCCGTCTCTAAGCGAACTTTTACGAAAGCGAAATGTTATAAAAGTTAAAATAAAAAAAAGGAAACCGGGTGCGCTTTTTATATAAAGACTTTATGGTTAATAAAAGGTGTTAACTATACTAAAGGCTTCGTGATTGGTTAGCTATTATAAAGAAAAGTTTTTATTCGTTTAAACTCGACAGGTAGTCTAAATATAGTTAAAACACTGCTCTTAGTAAAAATGGTTATTAACGTTATTTTCTCTTTTCGTATTTATTACCTTTTTTTTACGAGTACAAAAATACTAGATTTTGTTTAACTTTATAAAATTGGAAACAATAAGTTTACTTTACTAAAGAATTAAAAACGTGAATGAAAAAATGATTGCAATAATAGTGAAGCGTTCCTAAGAGATCCTTGGTAAATGGGTTTATGTAAAATTCTTAAAAGTTCATGTAAAAAACTTAAAAAAATATAAAGTTAATGTTCATTTGAAAGTTTAATGATTGTTCGTAGTCTTCAAAGAACTTTTATTCTACGCATGGTCATTGCAGTTACATAAGCGATTTACAAGATCTCATTATTTTTCTTTATATTTACATTTTATATATATATATATATATATATATAAAGAAAGGAGGAAAGGAGAAAACTTGAATTTTTAAAACGAGCGTCCGATCTTATAAAGCAAAATGAACAACTTTTAGAAGAAAATCAGAATTTACGAGAAATAAATGAGTGTATGACTGCTCGTCACTTGCGCAATAAGTTTTCCGATTATCAGTGTAAATATATATATATATTAGTTACTTTTGTTAATAATAATTGAGACTATTAAAGTATTTGAAGACGGTATCTACCAAGAAACGACATTGAACAAGGAAATTATAAATGGTGCTTATTTCAATTAATATTAAATTAAAGAAACTTTTTAAGTTTGCTGTTTTATTAGTTTAAAGTTAAAGTTTTAACTATTAAACATTTTCTGAATATAATTTTATTTACTTAACAATTATGGTTTTTCTATTTTTTAACGAACAAAAAGTTTGCGGGAAAATTTCAACTCTTAATATATATATGCTTTTAGTAAAAAATAAAAGTGCCACAACAGAAATAACTTCAAACGCGTCCTATAGCCCGTAATACTATTTCTATAGAAAAAAAAAAAGTTAATTTTATAAATTTAATTATCTTTAGTACTACATGCTGGACAGTTTGGTTGGAAGATAAGGACTGTAAATTTTGCTTAAATTGTGGCCAAAAATTTAATTTATTTTTTCGTAGGCATCATTGTCGAAGGTTTCTATTAAAAAAACTTTGCATAAATCTAAATCTTCTTATACTTCTTATTACATTATTTCAGTTAATTAAATTTTTAATTTAATTTTTGTCAGATGCGGTGGAATATTTTGCAAGAATTGTAGCTCAAAGTTTATTCCACTTCCAGAATTAAAATTTACTTCGCTCGTTCGCGTTTGTAATTTTTGCTTTAAAAAGAAAAAGAAGTGGAAAGTTATAAAATAAACTTGATTACTTGTACTTCAATCTTTTTAGTTTTTTCATCTTTAATAATGAGCATTTTATCGGTTGTCTGTCCAAATCAATCTAAAAAATTCTTAGACGCTCTAAACAAGATAGATCTCTCGATCTTTACTTTTAATCTTTTATAAATTTGTTAAAAGCTAAGAGAAAAATGCAGGCCTTTATTTACCAAGAATGAAAATTGATCCGCTTACCGCTAAAATAATTTATAATGAAATTTTTCTTTAAATTAATTTATAAGTGGAAGCCTGAGCCTGAGCTCTCTTTTTCTATATATGTTGTTGTACAAAATATTATTCTGTTGATCACTATTATAGTAAGAATTTTTTTTTCAATTAATTTTATTTTAGTTTTTTTAGTGAAAACCTTTAATTTATTATTTTCATAGAAGTATTATTTATTTACTCTGTTGTAAGCCAAATTATTGGTTTTTGTTTATTTTAGTAACCTTTTTTGCTGTCCTTACTATTACTTATCATATTTTAGAGCCTCTTTCTATTATATATTTTTTTTAACTGTTATTTCCAGTGTTACTTCTCACATATGTTAGTTTGTTAAAGGTTGACATTAGTAAATTAACTAATAAAATGTAATTTAAATCATTGAGCGGACTAATAAAGCTTTCTAACTAAACCGTCCCCGGTAGCTCTAATAGAACCGCGAAAATAACTAGTATACAATCGGGATCTCTTGGCGAGGAGCATATGGAATTTTTTTTTGTTCTTGTATATGCAGTCAAGAACCGACCGCAATAAGAAAAACTAAGTTGTAAACAAAATAAAAATTTAAAATTGTATTGCAACCACTATTATACCTTTGCAGAAACTCGATATATATTTCCATATAAGTGAAATTCATTACTGTGTTTTCTGAAGTACTGGTTACTGATTGGTTGAAACTAATTTTTCTACTGTGAAATGTTTAGTGAGACTTTGTTTTCTTTTTCCCATAAACCTCTTACATGTGTTTTTTAGCTATCTTTCGTTTACAGTATTGTCTTTTTTATAAATGTCTTTAAGTGTATCTATATATAAAATAAAACTATTACCTATTTTATCATGTGCGGTAGTTTCGGTCATCGGTAATTAAATGTTGTATTGTTACTAGAATTATAAATAATAGATTTAGCGTACTGTGTTTTGTCACAAAATGTTTCTTGTTAGACCGTTTAAGGATATTAAAAAACCTATACAGAAAACTGAGTTAAACTTTATTAAACTGTAGCAAACTAAAGCAACGCTTTGTTGAATAGCGGTTCCGTGCCCTATAGTTCTAGTATGTCTTCGGACAATTTTAAAAACCTGAGCCACAGTTTTCTGAATTTTTCAGCCAATGGGTTTGTCCAAATTTTAATTAAACTAGTAAATTTTGGTTCCCTTTTTTGTTAAAACAGAAATTGTGTTTATGCTTGTGCTTTGTTTTGCTAAAGGACACAACGCTAATTTAAAAATAGTAAGGGATAGCGTGTGAGCTATCAAATTAAATATTACAGTCTTTAGAGCTTTCATTTACTCTATATTATTTTTCTTTATAATATACTACAAACTATATTACGTAATATTATTGTCTATACTATATTAGTTCTTAAAAAGTTTTAACCTCTAAGATCAATAGTTCTGGTTTCATTAATATTTTTTGTTACTTATATTTGTGTAAATTTTTTTTATAATTATCAAAAGTTCATATTTTTTATAAACTATTAAAGGAAAAAAAAACTTAGTAATATTGATGCATAATATAATATTTAGCCCTAATGTCTTTTAACTAAGCTTTGACAACATTCCACCTCCCTGCATAGAACACCAGTTTAAAAGTGTGAAAAGAGAGACTCACTTTCAGCAGTTCTATTTAGAATTCTTTTTTTTTTTTCTTGCTTTGGCATATTACGGCCGGTCTTCTTGAGACCTTAAGCCGCGTAATCTGAATCCCCGTCTTCTGCCGGACTTGGAGCAAGAGTGCCCACCAGTGTACGATCTTCAGAGAGCTAAAATAACCGTCCCGAAGGACTGAGAAAACGGAAATTAACGGATCTGTACTTCCGCAGTTCGGCCCAGTGTAGTGGAAAACCGCTAAAAACCACCATTAGGAGAGGCAGTCTTAGGCTCAGGATCCAAGGCCACCTGGAGACACCCGGCCAACACCACTGCCAACCAGGTCTCCCAGATATGAGCTCCTCAGCAGAAGGGCGGAGCCCATGTGGAGTTCTTTTAAAACCACAAAATACTTTAATACTAAATAATATAACTTGCCACCGGAGAGATAAGATACTTCTACTAGATTCTTATAGTTAAAGTTAGTTTGGCTTACTTAAGCTAACGATTAATGCTTTTAAAAGTTTGAAAATCATAAATACGAGAAAAAAGAAAAAAAAAAATTCAAAGCCACAAAGCCCTATATATGTTTATAATAGCTATTCCGTAGGGCTCAGGTGGTTTTCCATAACAATTTTTTGAGTGTGGTCATATGACTGGCAACAAAAGCATCGATTAATAAAGTTCTTTAGATGAAAAGGTTAAACAGTTACTCCACTTCTAGAAACTGCATAAGATCATAATATATTTCTTTGTTAGATTTAGGTAGCTTAACTAAAACAAAAGGCACTTTATAAGTTGTGGTCCCTTTCTCATTCTCACCACTTCAATTGGGCTAACTCCTTAATTTTATAGGTTTTTAGAAAAAACGCTTTCGTCCAATTCAGTTTAAACCTGTATTTACTGCAGTAAAACACTTACCTTCAGGAAGCTCACAAGTATGATATTCGCTTTTATTAGCAATAAAAATTTTCAGATATTTTAATAGTCACCTGGGAAGAAAGCCTTTATATAATTCTATGGAACTCAGTTTTAACTTAGTTATAAAATTTCCTTATAAAATCAAAATTTGGCCATAATGCCTTTTCTTTAATAGCAATGGGGGAAACTCAGTCTTTGCTTGTGTATTTTTTCATCTGCTTTAAATAAGATATTAGTCTTCTAGCGCATTTTTTAAAAAATTAAGAGTAGAACTGTTAATTATTTCTAGTTGTAATAATCGAACAGATTTGAAACAGCCTTGTGCTTCTTTACTCATTCTTTCCTTTCTTTTTCCTCCGATCAACTGTCAGTGCATTTTTTTTTTAGCATCATTCTCTTTTTTTAAAGTTAAAATCTTGAATTCGAGATTAGATATAATTTGTGAAAAGATTTTATTAGAAAGGGTGTGAGCCAATTTCCGTCATAATTTGCTTAAAAAGCTTATATAAAAAATAGATATATACGTAGGTAGGTGCAGGTAGGTTTAACTAATAAGTTAGGTAGGCGTTGAGCAAAAGGGTCGTGCACCTCCTCTCTAAGAACTCCCGACCTAGAAGCCCCTTAATACAAAAAGTGCTTAAGCTCGAGTTCGAGCGTGAAGCAATTTAATTAAAACGATTCTTCTCTTCGTTTACAGTGATTAGTATATAGGACGCTCTCTGATTCAAGTCAAAGCCCTACGCTTCGGGAAATATAAATTTACAGCTTATAAAAACAAATTTTATAGGAATCCGAATTAAATAATTCTTTACTGTTAGTTGTCTTGTTATATTAAGCAAAGAGGGCGTTAACTAAATACTCTATGATACTGACGGAATTATAAAACAATGCATTATGTACGATTAAGAGGAATAGTCGATTATAATATAAATTAAAAAAACTTCGATGGTGATGTGGCGCTTGTGGATGAGATAAATTAATGGCAAACAACGGAGGTGAAATTAGTAAGGACTTCTGGTCCTCGTGCCTTTGACGTTGCTGGCCGATACTCGTTGTCTTACGGGGATGGATGGCTCTTAACAAGTCGATTGTAGAGGATAATGTATAATTCACTTACAGTGCGCAGTTAACTAGGGTAGATAACACGCTACCAAGGCATATGCGCTTTGAGTTTTAATTAATTTTAACTGGTAAATCTCATTTATTTAGATTATTTTTAAAATGTGTATATTTTTATTGTAATTGATACGACTTAAAAGTCGTAAAGGTTCTATGAAGATAATAAAACTCGCAGAAATTACTAACGGAAAATTATAAGAATAAAGGTGTGAAACAGACTATTTTAAGTAAAGTTTATCATATACGAAATAAAAATTTATGAAAAGAGAAAGAATTAGCTACTAAAACTACGAAAAAAACTAGAAGACAAGAAAGTTAAACCACCAAGATCATATAAAAAATGACGCAAGCCGCGGCTTGCTGTAAAGGATATAACAAGGATTGAAGATTTCCGCCAGTCCCAGGCATATTATATAAGGGTTGTGCTCGAGGTAATAACATGTGCGCAATCGTAACTTACAGAGTATAATTTTTTTAATAAAGTCCAAGAAGTGAAAGGGAGGTTTCAGTTTTCTCAAGGGTTTAATTCTTCCATATGGGTCAGTTACAGGGGATAAAATACCACATGTTATAAAGTAAAATCGATTTTCTTTGCTTCCCACAAGATTACCTATGTTATGCTATACAAATTTTTTTTTAGAATATACTCACTTTTTCTTCTAGTATAAAAGTGTAGTCCTTACAATTAATTTAAGGAAAGGTACAAAAAATAATAGATATTTTTATTTAGAATAGCCTAGTAAGAAAGGAAAGGAAATTTAAAATGAGTTATAAAGGCGGATGTAATTGGCAAAGAATTATTATAAATATTAAACTAACGGTTAAAACGAGTTCCAAGGTTAAAGTACGTTTACATATAACTAATAAGGCTATGACTATGTCAATATCCAAG